GTGGTCAACAAAAGAGCCTACGCAATTATTTACTTTTTCTTAACTTCTTAACGTTTCCAACCAGTATAAATATATTACTTTGATATTATCATGTTAATTATTATTACAGTTAACGTGTGTGGGGTAACGCAGTATAGTTATTTAAAACGTTCCAATTATCACTCCTGAATTTCCGCACATATTGTATTAGTGGTGTACGATTTTCAATAAAAAGGGAATTCTTGAATTTTGATTCTTTTTAAAAACACAAAATCGTACACAGGACGTTTAACTGGCGCAGTCGTGACGGATGTAGTAAAGTTTGGAAAACATAAAGCATAAAACAGTGACTCTTGGAGAATTATTACTTTGAATGCAATATCTCGTGCCAAAAACCGCGATATGCGCTAAATTTTAAGTTTCCGACATCCATAAGGCTTCCAGGACATCAAAAATCAAAGCATAAATTCATCACTTGAGACATCCGTCTGCAGTAAAAAATACTACAGCAGCAGTCGACAACTGACGTCAGCACTAAAGTCTGGAGTGACAATCCCAGAAAAAGGAGGTCATCTACCGCACCATCATCACAGAAAAATTATCCTCTTCGGATTTATTAATTCATTCTTCAGCAAATAGCTGAACAACACAATAAAAATCACCGAAACTTTCGGAAAAGGGTCCAAAGGAAGAAAACGAGTTCGACGTACCCTAATCAAAGATGCGACTTCAACATATTCATCTTGTAAAGCTGCTACCAATACTTATAACATGTTTACACCAAGTACGACCACAAAAGGTGGAAATCAAAGATCTTAACCGAAAATCAGGTATTTTACCATTAAAATTATAAACAGCAAGAGTTCAGTTAACCCATAACACTTTTACTCATAATTATTCTCTGAAACCCCTTAGTAGTCAAGTAATAAATATAGAAACAAATTTAAACACTTCACAGGTTTCCTTTGATAACAATTATGACGACTTAACACCGACGCACGAAATTACGTCAGGAAATCAATTATTTAAAAGAACAATTAAAAATGATTCACCGGGAAATATTTTACCAAGAAAATGTAAAAAACCAAGGTTTAATTAACGCATTCGTCTCAGTACTTAAGTTCGTGTCAGAAACCTTAGATGCAGAAGGTGGAGAACGATATGACAAAGCAATAAATACATTGAAGCAAGATCAAGAAAACTTAATTAATTTTTTTAACAAGCAAATATCCATTAATAAAAAGGTAAACCAGGTATGCGAGGATACAATTAAAAACATATCGGCTAGTATTGGAGTAATTGAAAAATTATTTAATAGTCTTAAGGTTAGAGAAACCATCTCTAATAATCTTTATTCACTTAAGTTCATAATTAATCAGTTAAAAGTTCAGTAATCAGTACATTACAAGCAGCAATAAGCTTCGCAACTCTCAGGCACCTGCACAACAGTTTTAATTTGTTTTTAATCTTCATCTAGTAAAGTAACTATTTCATGATTTTAATGATAATAATGTAGTCATTAGATGCTATGTATACCAGATCAATCAAAATGCTAATAGCAATAACCTTATCAAGGAAGTTATTTACCTATTTAGTATGATTTAAACATTTTTTAGACTATATGATCAATTATTGTACATAAATATGTGTTCTGACTCATTTTACTTCTCAAAAAACAAATTTTTAGGATCATTTCTTTATTATTTAAATTATATTGAGCATGTAAGCAAATTGGACAAAAGATTGAACACTAACAATAAACATTAACTGTAAGTGAACGCAATATTATTGATGTACGAAGGGGCGTTTTTAAGTTCGCGGAATGGGAGGTAAGAAGTGGAAATAAAAGTACCAATTTATTTTACCTTTTCAATATATTCACCTGATACTCCTATTCATTTTTACGATCTTTCAATTAACTTACGCATACCTTCGAAAAAAAAAATGTTTTGTCTTTGTCTGAAAAATATGCCAAACCTGCATCCTTCACTTCTTCGTCGCTTGAAAATATCTTCCCACGAAGACTTTCTTCAAGTTTGGGAATAGGTAATCGCTGGGAGCTGGATCAGTACTGTAGGGTGGGTGAGTCGAAATTTCGAAGCACATCTTCAACAGGGCAGCCATCGCAACACGGTTCTTGCGAACAGACGCTTTGTCGTTCAGAAGGAGGACACCTTTGGTCAATTTTCCTCTTCTTTTTTGTTTGACCGCTTTAAGGTTGAAGCATAGTTAAAGAGACACCATTATCTTTCTAATTTTCTTTTGAATCCCAAAAGACTGTGACACCTTAAACTTCTTGGGTGGTGGTATGCTTTCTTTGTGCTACTGTATAGAGTCCTGTTTTGACTCAGGTTCATAATGATAAACCCAAGTTTCGTCCCCAGTAACAATTCGAGTTAATACTCCATCTTTATCTTTACTATAGAGATCTAAAAACGCGCGAAAACTTCATACGCTGTTGTTTCCGAGGCGGAGTGAGCATTCACGGCATCCATCTTGCGCTGAATTTAGTCATGCCAAGATGATCGTGAAGAATTTTAAAAATGGTTATATCTGATATTCCTACCATTTCTGTGAGCTGTTTCTTCTTAAGTCGAGCATCTTTCAGTATTAATTTTTCGATTTTTCGAATGATTTTCGGAGTGGTCAACTCGATCTGTCAGTGGGTCGTCTTCAAGTGAGTCCTTCCCTTGCTTAATGAGGGTATGCTACTTGTAAACTATGGTTTTTCCTGGACAAAAGTCCCCATAAACGGATGACATCGATTTTCTTCATATTTCACAATTTGTTCCCGATTGACTTCTTTCGTTGACGATCTTTCAAAGACTACTGGCCTAATTACGATAAAATTTGATATTTATACTAATAATGAGTTGCTTAATTCGTAATGACTCGAGTAAGTATCCTCACTAATGACCTACCTACCCATTCCGCGAACTTAAAAACGTATTATTCCATAATTAATCTTATTCATAATTCTTTTAGTTTACAGTTTAAAATGAAGAATTCTTTTTTTTTGTGAGTGATAGATGATCTTTTAAACGCGAAATAGTTTGAATGCTATACTCAATAATGTCAGATGTATTTACTGTTTACTTCTCATTTACAAAATAATGCCACAACGGTATGTAAAGTACAATGGAAAGCCATATTTTGGACGCCACTTCAAAAATGAAAAAACAGGCATAAAAAGGCTGCATACTCATCCACAACTAATCGTAAGCTTGAAGTGATGGCAAACAAATCCAAATCTGGGTCAGCCGGGTGAGTACCTTTCATGCACGAAATCGACTTTTGTATATATGTAAATATTTCAGTATTTTTATTAAATTTTTAATTAATTATCCAGGGTAACATGACGCCCTTTCACAGTTTATAAATATGGATCTACGTGCTCAAATTCTATTAAATATACCTACTATTAATTTAAAATTTGAAAATTTATATATTAAATTATGTAATGTATTTACACTTTTGGCCCATGTAAAATGTTGTCTTATAATACCCAACGAATATTAATTTTGTTTTAATCGACACTGACGGTTTATATGTATTTTAGTTTCGGGCTCTCCTGAATCTACCGAAGCAACTAAATTAATGCACGGTTTCTAAAAGACGAATTGCAATTCTTAATGAGGGTTGCAAAGTAACAGATTTGTATTTGTCGAATATGACTATGATAGCGACATGAAACGACAAAATTACAATAATAACATAAAATTTGATTCGTCTTTGATAAACAGAACAAAAGGTAAAAGCACACGAAAAACAATGTCTTATTAAATTAAATATGCGTTTCTTAATATTATCTGAAATATTGTTCAATGAAATCTACAACTATTAAAATAGAATTACATGTTTTAAATTAAATGTTAGGGATTTAATTCACGCGCCTAATTTCTTTTCCTTTTCTTAAGTTGGCATTCGCCATTTTTCACCCCCACTTTTATAAAGTTTATCATTGTAAGGCCCAACCGACGCCATTATTGTCAGTTGCTTTGTGTTCTTTGTATCGAACAGTCGTCCAAATAAACGGGTCTTTATTAAACTAAATTAATTGTGTTTCACTGCGTCTTAACCTCACCAATATTAAATACCTAGACTTTTCTGAAAAAAAATTACTCTATTCTTAATATTAAGGTGACCACGAATAGTAAAAGATTAAATTAAGAATCAGTAACTTCGATTTTTCGATAGAAGACTACTACTAGTCTTAATCTAACCATCAAGGTGTGGGAACACTCGGTATAGCAATAAACAATTCAAATGTGTAACAATTAAAGTGCTTCATTTGTGCCGACTTAGTAAAATCGCGCCACAGTGCGAGGTCATTGACATTTATACACCCAGACGAAAATCGCTGAAACATCTAATACCATAAGACCAATGTAAATAGTTTTAGTATAAATAGCATGTAAATAATTTAATAAACCAGTCTATCATAAGGCTCACTTTTATTTAGATGCTGCAATAGTATCAACCCTTGGATGCTGCAATAGTGTCAACCGTTGAATGCTGCAATAGTGTCATAATTCATCATTGATGCAGAAATGTGTCAAACATTATTATAAAACCGGTTCTTATCAGAGCCAAAATTTGCAATAGTCATACAATCTACTACAGTGATGATCCCGACTAAGAACAAATTACTGCAAATGAGATAAATTTATGACCACAGCTGTTACCTGAACTGCTGTCAACGAAGAAAGGAACGTTGTCGTTTTGCCCACTTACAACTAGCCGCCCAACTTCCACCTTCAACCCCTGCGATTAGTGTAACAACGCAACGAACCGACAAACAAATAAAGTGCCACCGGCACCAACAGATTCTACAAAGAGATTGTGATTGCACATTCTGCTGCTGGTAGTGCAACTGCCTCGCCACTGGACTCACTCATCTTAATTCTGTCATTGCAAATCATCAGCCTCCTGTGGACGGCCTACCGTGAGTACCGGCGAAACACTCAACGGCACATAAGCAAAAAGGATGCCCAGGCCAGCCGCAACGTGAACGCCTAATCATGTCGTCCTCAAAATGCCGATCCTCCCTCCCCTGTCCACCGACTGACTGGCCCTCTGACCCTGAACTATGGTTTTGCATGGTGGAACGAAGCTTTGAGGCCTCCGGAACTGATTTGGAATCCACAAGACTCGGATACGTGCTAGGCAACCTTGACCCTCGCTATGCGGCAGAAGTGCGCGATATCATTGTCAACCATATGCCACCATCAAGGCAGCACTCATTCGTCAACCGGGCATCTCCCAAGAAACACGAATGAAACAACTCTTCGAGTCAGGAGATTTGGGGGATAGGAAACCCACGCAATTTCTGCGCCATCTACGCGGTCTGGCCGGAACCACTATGCCGGACAACTTACTGCGAACCATTTGGTCAAGTCGTCTCCCGCTTAATGTTCAAGCTATCATCGCAACCATGTGGGACAAGGATCTGGATGAAACAGCAGGGGCAGCTGATTGCATCATGGAAGCAATTCAAACGGAAACCATAGCTGCAGTTACTCCCACGACCAGTTCCATTCCGGAGACCATTCAAACTTTAACCAACACGATATATACCCTCCGGATGGATCTCAACAACATGAGATGAAATATGGTGGGGAAATTGAAGAACCAATCCCGTTCAAATTTAGGCAGTTTTTTACCCCGACGACGTTCCAACCACAATTTTCGATAGTCATTTAAACGATTACAAGGGTATACTTCACTTACCGAATAATTTAATGTTACGCTATAAAGATCTGTTTTATTAATCTACATTGGATAATGTTTATTTCGAACTGTTAGATAATGGAATGACAAAATTATCAAATTCCTTGTATAAAATTCAGTTATTTGAACTGCCTCAATAATAGTAATCTTTTGCAAAGAATTCAGACTCACCATCAAAATAAACGATAAAAACAATAACAGATCAGTATTCGAATCATCCTTTATTTTGGCATTTACAAAAATGTGGTGTTCAGATTTTTTTATTCAACTTTACTGTAAAGGTCAATAAGAATCGCTTTCAAAATTCAAGTAGGCTCACAAAAAACGAAAGCGTCTCAACTCAAAAATAGTTACGATTAGAAATAAAGGAAAAATTCTAAAGCGATGGTAAAAATTGTAATTAGATGAAGCAGTTTTTATATTACTTAATTTTTAGATTTGAAATTTTTAAGAGAGTTGGTATGCTTGACGTATTTCCTTCGAACAGTCGTGTTGTTTCTTCCGACAAAGATTTAAAAAGGCATTGGCATTGAAAATTTTCTAGTTGCAGAGTCCATTAATTATTGTTTAAGCTAAGATAAAACAATAAAAGAATATGTAAATTTAGTCACTTCTTAATTAATTGAAAATATAATTCTTTATTTAATGTTTTCATAATTTGTTATAAAACACTATATATACACTACTATATATGTGTATAGTGATTACTGTTTTGACATATTTTGTGCTGAGTACATACAATACAAAGAGGGCATACATCTTACTTTTAACAATATTCTCTTATTAATATTCTTTCTCATTTGGAATTTTCGGCCTTAATAGAAATGTTATTGTGCTACATCAACTTTTTAGTTAATTACACAAACTTATAAATCATAAAATGCAATTGTAAAAACCATATTACCAATACGAATAACTGCATTTTCCATTTAGAATTCTTTCACAACATAGCAGACCACTTTATTTGTCCATCTGACTATTGTAATCGGTTTTATCACAGAAAATGTGATTTTAAACGACATTTAAAGTTGAATGAATTTAAATTTAATACAAATACCGAATTCTGCTTCTACCAGCTCAATAATAAAATCAGTTGTTAACACTAAAAATATTAATGGACCATTTATGAAACTATTTTTGTGATGAAAATAAAAAGAAAAATCTACATGCACCAGAAAATGTGCAAATAAATTTAAATAATAATCGTTGAAGAATTTATTCCTCCATTATGTAATTACTTACCTTTAAATAGATCTGTAATTCTGTAATTCAAAACTTTACATATTTCATAAAATAGACAGAATGTGTGATGGGAAAACCACCAGAAAACAAAATAATTGATCATCAATCATTTTTAGCATTGAAATCGAGATCAGGTTACTACATACCGAACGATAAAACTCCTAAAAACTTCCTAGAAATTCTTGGTGTTTCAAAAACCATTATTAAATATCAGAAACATCTTCTAAAATATTTTGACAATAATAAAATACTTACAAACATAATTCTTAGGTCAATTTATTAAAATACAGTTTCTATTTCAAACATGGAAATAATTTTATCTTTAGTAATTAACCATATTTTAAGGATTTTGAATCTGGGAATCCAGTGGACAGTAAAGTAGGTGTTTACATTATCATAGGAACAGTACCATTACAATACTAAACTAATGAGAAAGAGAGAGAAAAGTAAACCCAATGCTTTTGTTTGTATTGTAGTTGGTTTTCACATTCATTGTTCTCATCGGAATTACTATCACTATCACCGACATGAACAATTTGTATGTCTATTACTTGCTCATTATTTAACATAGAATTTATATAAATCACGTTAAACTAAATTATTGCGTCTATTTCTTTTTTATACAGGGTGTCCCATTTATAATAATTAAAAAAAAAGCATGGCTTCCTGACACAAAATACAACAAAAAAGTGTTATACAATTTTTCATTCCAGTGACAATTGAGCTCGCAAATCGTCTTTGTAAATTTGAACGTACAATTTGTTTCATTACGGGCCTGGATCTAGACGACCAACGTAGCTCAGCTGATCTAATATTGATGTAACAAGTACCTACCGGGAAGAAGCCGAATGCACTTCCAACTTGTAAAGAAAAGGTAAATGTGAAAAAGAAATGCGTACCTTTTATAAAAAATGTTTAAATTGTCCGCCATTCGCTTCAATGCAACACTAACAGTGGCGTACGCAGTTGCTGCGAATTTTGGCCCAGATACAGGGAATATTTCGAATTATATGGTAATGTAACGCACTACCAACTGACGGTTGAATAAGAACCCTACTAGACTGCACTACTAATTGTTCTTATTGTAATAGTCTTTTATGAAATGACCACTAAATAAATAAGCGACCTACTGAAGGTGAATTTTTCTACGATCAGCTGGCAATCGTAATTAATTTGCGATTATGCAGGGCCGGCATCAAAACTGTTATAACTTTATAATTTTTTATTTTGTTTCAAAAGTCAAAAGTGTTATAACATTTTATGTTCCAAATGTCCGTAGGAATCTGTGGTATAAATATTAATTATTATAACTGGGACACCCTATATA